TTTTAAATCCATTTGACCACGTCTGCCGTTTTGAAATTTTGAAAANGGAATAACATCGTGTAATAAAAATGAAACCCGCAAAATTATAATTTGCGTAATTACTGGTGGTAGGACCTCTTGTGAGTCCGCGCGGGTGGGTACCACCACCCTGCCTATTTCTGCCGTGAAGCAGTAATGCGTTTCGGTTTGAAGGGTGGGGCAGCCGTTGTAACTATACATGAGACCTTAGAACTTGTATCTCAAGGTGAGTGGCGCATTTACGTTGTGGATGTCTATGGGCTCCAGTAACCACTTAACACCAGGTGGGCTGTGAGCTCGTCCACCCACCTAAGCAAAAAAAAATAATTAAATAATAATTTTGTCATTTATATTACTAAAAAATGAATGCTAATAACACTTTTTTTTACGAGTGTACATGCGCGAAAGTTCACCTGCGGCTACATTGAGACTCGCCAAGTTACGTCGGTCGTATTGTAATGAGCGATTTAGTGGGCAACTTCATTCTGTTAATTTTGTGTCACGGTGCGCGCGCATCGTAAAATTTCACTCTCATAAATTTTTCATAACGCGCCTAAAGAAGTATAACTTCAACAATAACGTCTTATTTAAATACTTACGTTTAAAAAATGGTCACAAGTTTTTCACCATATTAAATTCCTAAGCACACCCAAAAACGTGGGAATTAAATTTTTTTGTTAATTCAAATAATATAAAGTGAATTACTCTATCAAGAACACAATAAATAATTTCCTAAACAAAAATATGCTTTTAAAGTTATAAGTTAGATGTACGATTTGTCGTAATCAAAGCATTTTCTTTAAACGACTTTTGAGATAAGAGTATCTAGCGGTACGTATAATTTTTTTGTGTAAAACAAGTGAACACCTATGCGTATCTTACACAACAAACGACCTTTGATTTAGATAACCGATAAATATAAATCGGTATTATTCATATTAATAAAATGCATATTACAAGTCACTAGTGAGTCGCGATTTTAGGCCAAGAGATGTATTTTTCGGACGCGGATCTCAACGTGGCTAGCTAGGCGGCGTAATAGAAGAACCCAGAAGAAGAAAGAACCCAAGAAGCCACGTCCAGTGACTTTGTTTTATTTGCCCAGACTAGTAATCTTTCCCAGATGCTAAACGCTTAATTAGGCACCATTAATGAAAAAACAAAAACTCGTTGGATACAGGTAGCCCAAAATAGAACCAAATGGAAGGACTTGGAGGAGGCCTTCACCATGTTTAATGGGTTCCAGCCAAACATAAGTGAAGAAAAATAAAATTATTAAATACCTATTTATTTTGTATTTTAGCAGGAAATAAAAGGCTTTTTATTTTATTTATTTTATAATTTATTAATGAAAAAACAAGAAGACTAACCTAGTGGCGCAGTATTAAATTTCCCAATTGCAGGGCCAAAGGTTAGAAGTTCGTTTCCCACTTCGAGCAAACATTTGGATTACGAATAGGGCAGTTTGCTCTTTGTCTGGGTTTAATATCTCAGGTACAACATGCATTTTCGCTCTGCCGTACCGTAGGTTTCATCTAACGGAAGATCGATGGGGCTTAGTAAAGTGCGGGACGGATGCCTCGCGCGCCTTTTTTAAGGCGTAGTCTCTTGGGAGGAATTGGGTGATAAGGAGAACCTCCGACTTCCTCTTCTCCCTCTTTTTCTCTAGAGACGCCAGAGTCCGACAGAGCCCGCTCTGTTATAGCCCCTCGACCGTGTATCCGTAAATGGATTCGCCAGCGTTAAAAAAGAGAAAAGGTATAACATGTATGAATTAAAAAGTTAATAAAGATCCCATATAAAGGTTCCCATAATACTGAAAAACCTAAATTGGTCGTGTTCAAAACCTGAAGAAATACCAAATTAACGAAATAAATGAACTCGCACATCTTCGCTGCTTGTGTTCCCGCCCCAAAAATATTTTGTTTACTTTTAATGGAATTAAAAATCGTATATAATAACAATATATCGATGACATAAAAAAAACAATAATGAAAAACCTTTTTCTCATAGCTGTCCACGGGATAACAGCCAACATAAAGAATCAATTATTAACCCATTTCTTAGTTTTTTTTTTATCGCGACATAATTATAGTTAACATAGCCTTCCATTACACTGATGGGCTGGTTACATTATGTAAAAAAAGAAGATAAGTAAGCTTTCTCCTCAATAAAGTAACCTTAAGGTTTCCATAGAAAAAAGTCGAAAGCGACTGCAGTGCTTATATGAGGCACGCAATTGGGAACGTAGGAGGAAGTCTAATCGATCGCAGTGGACATAATTACAGAGAGCACACGACGGCACTGACACGTCACATGCCGCGTGCAAACACGCCGATAAAGGCTTGTGCACATGGCGCGAAAATTAGTAGACGGCTTCAGAAGTAAATTTCATGTTATATTGCATTTATTTTTAATATTTCCGTAGACAGGTTAGACGAAGCGAATGTCTACTTAATGAGCTTAACGAGCCGCCATTGTGCTTAGTGCGAGTTTTCTGACGTTCTCGATAGCGTAAAAGTTAACTCAAATTTGTATGCAGTTGGAACAGCGCCCCTAGTAGCAAACGTAGACGTTAACACACAGAACTCATGAATGGCCGACGCCTACCTTGACACTTGAAGTCAAAGTATTAATCGCATTGCGATACCAGCTACTCTTCAAATTGGAACGTAAGACTTGATTGAAATAGGAGACTAACGACGATTTCTAAGCTGACATACACACATTTTTTTCTGTTTTATTACACTTTTTGTTCTGAATCGTGAATCTGTTCGCAAAAACACATCCCAGATATATAATTATGTATTGTATAAGATAATCGAACCACGGTATTCAAAACGGACAACTTATTACGCCATCGACAGTCCCGCAATAATTAATCCTAGAATTATAAAGTGTAAATGTATATACTTAAATGTTCATTATTTTGACATTAGTTGTTCGTAAGTCAGAAATTAGAGTTAAAAAGACAACATCCAAGTAATCATTTTTTAAGGGATTTTATGACCTGGTAACTGAGACCTTTAAGTCATGTCTTATTTTAATGTATATTCATATTTTTATGAAAAATGATATTATGGAGTGAAATGAAATGACGATAATTAATTTGAGACATTAATCAACTGGGATGAAATTAAATGTGATGATATGAGATGAAATATAATCTCAGTAAAATGGTGGTCATTTACTAAGATTTTTTCAGTGGACTTTTTGGAGGATCCCGAGAAGTTACGTCCAGCGGCTTTGTTTCATTTTACCACATTTGTGCACTTTCACAGATATTAAACAGTTAATAAACTACCATTATTACACATTTAAACCCGAAGAAACACTAAATAGACAAAATAAAATCACACAACTTCACACCTCGCGTTCCCGCCAAAAAGTCCATCCAAGTAATCAAGAACGAACAATGTACCTACCCTCCAAACATTAAAAAAAGGAATAAGTTAAAATCAACAAAATTCAAAGAACATACATCCCGTACAGGTTGTAGATGTTATTTCATAAATTAGATTCTAGAGCATATTTAAAAAAAATCAATCGCTTTTTAAAAAAAAAATATTTATAGGACCTTATTAATTAACACTTGAGGACTTCTCAGAATAATTTTGGAAACGGTACATCGCAATAGTATGATTTACTTTTTTATTACTTAGATGAGTGGAGGAGCTCACAGCTCACCTGATGTTAAGTCGTTACTGGAGCCCATACACATCTACAACGTAAATGCGCCACCCACCTTGAGATATAAGTTCTAAGGTCTCAGTATAGTTACAACGGCTACGCCATGCCACCCTTCAAACCGAAACACATTACTGCTTCACGGCAGAAATAAACGGGGTGGTGGTACCTACCCGTGCGGACTCAAAAAAAAAGTTGCATACGTAAAAAAGTTGCATACGTGCTTATAACAGTCGAAGTAGCCTTTACAGTAATGCAATTTACATTGCATACGCGAGTTCACGTGCATCGTTTAAGTCTGCATTACATACGTTCGAATCCCATTTGACGGACTGTTGACGCCTTAACTACGTTCAATTATTCACTTGGTACCGTTCTCGTAAGCTTTAACAATGACGGAAATATTGTTAAGTTCGTTACGAAAACAAATAGAGGTAAAACGTAGAACAATAGTCTCTTGAGATAGTTTTAATGAGAAAGATAATTCGAAGAAGGAAGTTGCAATAGTTAGACTATTCAAAATCATTTTAACATTCGCTCCTTTTTCTCTCTATTGATAAAATTTCCACAACACGACTTAAAGTATTCAGCTCACTGAGTTTCTCGCCGGATCTTCTCAGTGGGTCGCGATTCCAATCCGGTGGTAGATTCAGCGAAGCACTGCTCTTGTTAGGGCTAGTGTGAACATTTCTCCCATGTTAATAGCCCTTTAGGCTACAAATGATTGGGTACGAAAAAAAAAAGAATTCAGCCCAACCTAAAGAGGATAGAACATTTCAAACATTGGAAACGTTGTAATGACACAACAATTCCCACACTTTAAAGTGAACTAACTGTATTATTAATAGTCACCGTCTTATAAATAGGACAAACCCCTACTAAATATTATTCCTGCACGACCAACTAAAAATATACTGCCATGATGACGTCATGACGCGTAGAGAATATCGACCGATCGCGCCCTTGGCTAACAGACCTTGAAATAAGCACCCTTTCTGACATTGAAATGGAGGGTTTGGAATACCGATATAATTCATTGACTATTTCCCGTAAAAACAAAACAAGAACTTAAATCGAAAAGTGACTCTTTCAAAAACGCTTTCTGTTTTTTTTTTATTACCCAACAAAAGATTTTTTTCTTCCTTTACTGGGATATAGTAGTAGTGCCTACTAAATTGTATTAATAGTATATTGTCTATAATGTATTTAAAAACCTTTCCCAAAAACAAAACAAAAAGTGATACCATAAATTATTAAAAAAAAAAAAAAGATTTTTTACACTCCCCGCAATAAAACACAATTCAACACCGGCTGACTGGCCATTAGTCTAGAATGAGATAAACGTGTTTACAAAACATGAATGAACTTCCCTAAAAGACAGTCAATAACACAATACTAATTAAGGTAGGTGCAGAATATACTTTCAGGTAAGAAACCCGTGTTAATATTTAAACACCTCCTTTCTCCGAGCATCGTCGTGACCGACGGCTCAGCGCTATGAAATGTCTCAACGCCGCAATTCTCAAGCGAATAGGAGCAACAACAGGTTATTTGAGATCGTACGCCCGCCTCCTGTAAAACAAAGTATTAGAAAGTTATCTACATAAAATTTCACTTGGCAGTCAATAATAATGCACAGAGATCAATTTCTCGAAAGACAAAAATGTTAATTCAATGGTATTATTATTGCGAGGGGACGGTCGTGTCGGGTCACGAAAAACGTGAGTCCCGATTCGAGTCCGAACCGCTGACAAACATGAATAATTGTTTTATAACAATTGACTTCATGTACCTGCCCACTTTCTATGACATGGTGGTGGTTTGGAGCAGCGGAGATGAATGAACGAACATAACTCAATGATTTTCTATATCTAAGATACAGTTTATTTGTATCCATTAGGCAACGGCTTCGCTGTGGCACTGATATTGCTGACGTCCATGAGTGACGGTAACCATCCACCACCAGGTGGACCGTATGCTTGTCTGTTTACAACGGCAAAAACATAATGCCGTGTAACATAGCAATATTCGCGCTGCGTTACGTCTTCTGTTATGGCAGTAAGCTTCATGAGCGATTAAGAAACGCATGTGAACGAATTATTAAGATCCCACAAACAAATTTGAACAGTGGGGTATATCAAACAGGTACATGACCAGAATTTGCAAACTCTTAAATAAAATATTTGTTGTACTACTTGGGACAAGTGCGTGATTTTTTTTCCTAGCGTGTAGGTGAGCTCTCGGGGCTCAAACCAGGAGGCGTTACTAACACTGGCCCTAACAAGAGCAGTGCTTCGCGGAACGGTGACCGGTGGTTGAGGTATCTAAAAGCATCGTTGCGCGTGATTCAGTCATTCTTTTTCCATCCAACTCGAAAATATCGAGATTTCCGACACAAGATTATACGCGTATAGCTTTTAAAACATTTGATAATAAATAGTATATGAATAGGCTTCGAATACCAATCCTCCTCAAAAGTGATTCTCCGTTGGAGCACGCTTTTATTATCTTACTAGCGACCCGCCCTCGCTTCGCTTCGGAAACATTAAAACACACATGAAACAAACAAAAAAAAATTAAAAATTTTTTTAAAAAAGTAGCCTATGTTCATCAGGGACAATGTCGGCTTCTAATGGAAAAAGAATTTTTCAAATCGGTCCAATAGTTTCGGAGCCTATTCGAAACAAACAAACAAACAAATCTTTCCTCTTTATAATATTACAAACAAAAAAAAATTAAAAAAATTTAAAAAAAGTAGCCTATGTTCATCAGGGACAATGTCGGCTTCTAATGGAAAAAGAATTTTTCAAATCGGTCCAGTATTTTCGGAGCCTATTCGAAACAAACAAACAAACAAATCTTTCCTCTTTATAATATTTATTATTATTATTATTATATTATAATATTAGTATAGAAGTACGATCATACTTACAATGCGTATGTTTGTTTATATGTAACGGAATCTTTGAACGTCATATTCACCGACTTCAAAAGTCCGATTGACTAGAATTTTTTTACACACGCATGGACAATACATGTAATATTTTATAACCTCGCTCTAATTTGCTGACCAGTATCATAATTTGATACTGATGATATGACAAGAGATAGAAATACAGAAACTAATTGTTTGATCGGTTTCGTGTTTAAGTGTGTTTTTTTTTTTAAATAGTCAGAGACAGTTAGAGTCGTCTTGGCCTAAAGGATAAGACGTCCGGTGCATTCGTGTTGAAGCGATGCACCGGTTTTCGAATCCCGCAGGCGGGTACCAATTTTTCTAATGAAATACGTACTCAACAAATGTTAACGATTGACTTCCACGGTGAAGGAATAACATCGTGTAATAAAAATCAAACCCGCAAAATTATAATTTGCGTAATTACTGGTGGTAGGACCTCTTGTGAGTCCACGCGGATGGGTACCACCACCCTGCCTATTTCTGCCCTGAAGCAGTAATGCGTTTCGCTTTGAAGGGCGGGGCAGCCGTTGTAACTATACTTGAGACCTTAGAACTTATATCTTAAGGTGGGTGGCGCATTTACGTTCTAGATGTCTATGGGCTCCAGTAATCACTTAACACCAGGTGGGCTCACAGCACGTTCACCCATCAAAGCAATAAAAAAAACATATTATATTATGAAGATGAAACTTTGTGTACATATTATCAAGAAGCGGCTTTAGTACGATCACAAAAGAAGCTTTGATACGCCGCGTGTTTACATTCTTGCATGGATCTCGATAAGCTTTTTAAGTTTTAACATAACTTAAGCTAGTTCTTGTTGAGTTCAATGGTCTTGAACTCAACATCGTAACAATGACAAGTAATCTACAGCTTGTTAAAGTCTTATTCTTCACAGCTCGCTCCGCTTCTACAAAACTCCTACCCTCCTCTACCTTATTACTGGTACTGATAGGTCCAATGCAATGTGTAGCTTCGAGGTCAGATCTTAAGGTGTTTATAGGGTGTGTATGGGCTTTGAAAACCTATGAATCTTAATCGGGGCGTGAACTTATCTGCCCATTAGTTACATAGTGACAAACTTTACATCAAAAGAAGAGGCACATCACGGATCTTCACAAATAAATTTCCACGGTACATAATAGACAGTAGTGAAGCACCGCATAATGCAAGCAGTCTATTTTTATCAGATTACTACATAACATAATTATAGTGTAACACACTAGAATACTCGTGAATACCTACTAAGGTATAAAATAAACATTTCTTCTGCCGTGGTTCTGTGTGTACTGAACGCACAGTTGTCGTGTGCGTATTTATTTTGCTGTAGCAATTTCAGTCCATTGACATAGCCATTGACGTATAGGGCTGGTACAAATATTTATGAAATCAAAATTATATCAGTACGAATAAATCGAAACTGAAAAAGATGCTATTAATAGCCTGTCTAAAAAACAATTAGAAGACACGGGTATGCGACAGTTTGAACTTCAACTTTATTTCTCAAATTGGGCGGAATCTCGGCGTAAATTGCCACAAATATCTAGCTGCCGAGCGTCGGGACTGCAATACTTAGCGGGCACGAACCCTGGTGGACAATGCTTGAGTTCTGTGCACCATCTTGCAGAAACAGACTATGAGAGAGAGAGAGAGAGAGAGAGAGAGAGAGTGATTTTCTCTTCCAGCCTGAATTCTGATTTCCTAAGTGTTTTGGGTCTCGTCCATATGCTGGATGTGGACTGCAAGGGAGACCCAAAAAGTCAAAAGGTAAATTGCTCAAACGGTACAGGTTGGCGACGCCATCTAGGCGAGCTTTGGATAGCCCACCGGCCGAGAGACCCGGCGGTCGTGGCGCCGACAACCGCCTATTTGGTGTCCCATGTCGATAGGATGGCGTCAAGCAATGCATTCCGCGCAATATGTTTTACCTTGCTTTTCGGCTCACTCAATTGAGTTCTGCCTCATCAGAGGTTCGAAAGCATGTAGGCAAAAATAGATTTTAATTAGTCTAACACCAACCGACATCACCTACCTCACCTACCAACCCCAATACGAAAGTATTTTCTCCTGATCCAAAACAAATATGAAAAATTCATCAAACATAAAATATTTTCAAAAATTACAGACGTATTTAATAGAATTTAAAAAAATACATAAACGTTATTCTTATTAATCTCGTAAAAGGTAAGCCTTGCGTGTTACTCCAACATTTTCAAGTCATAGTTGAAGTTTAAATGTGAACCCTAACAGTTACTGGTAGTCCCAAGTGAAAAGGTAAATATGAAGGTGTCATTCACTGGACAGAGCGATAAAAAATTAACAGAGAAACATTGCTCCTTCCAAGAAAATCGAAGACAAGCAATAACAAGACTGAACTTTATGCCAATGACATAAAGTTCAAATTGATGAACTTATTAAACATTAAATCGATACTATTGTTGTGAAATAGGGAAGGTTTTTTGCTATCGGAAGCCATTCTGTGGAATCCGGATTTTTTATTGACTTTTTCGAAAAGGATTCCTATGTAAATCGGTTTTTATTCGCCCACGCCAAAGAAGCCGATACTATATAGACTTTTATTTGATAGATCCTTTAATTCATTGGATGTTTTAAAATATACGATGGGGAGTTTAAATGTGGGTCGCAACGTGAACAATATCGACATTGCATGATTTACTTTTGGAATTCCAAAGCTATATTAATGTTTTTATGTGATCTCACAAGCACTATGGTGTGTGAGCAAATATTATTATTATTATATCACATATAATTACTATTTTTAATTGCCATTACTGGCCGTCGAGTTTACCGGCCACCTGATAATAAGTAGTTGCGTCGCTCACGGATACTAGCCGAGCAAATCCCACCCCTCCTGGCTGAGCCTTTGCTCGCCCACCTGTCCTGGTGAAACTGGAAAGACCTCCGTGCCACCAGTATTCTTCAATCCTAAAAAAAAGGATACTAGCTAGGGGCACGGCACAGCCACTGTCTACTCCAATTAACCTCGTTTGTGTAACTTTAAAAAAACCCTCCCCTCCTCTGGGATATTGACGTAATTGTTTTTCTAATCCATCAGTGAGTTGACGCTACTTGTGTGCTAACAAAAACATATTATATTAAAGTAGCTTCATTGCATTCCTTTTTCGTTCATCAGTTCATTCCATTATCAAAGCCTTGTTTCATTTCACGCTGTGTACAAGTGACTACTTCTTCATTAGAAACGCAACTTTCTCCGATTGAACTTGAGAAAACAACAGTAGCAGCACACCATTAATTTAAACTTTTTTTTTTCACAAACCAACGGAGTATACTTGGTTTCACATTGAACTCGATCTAAAAAAAAATACGATTCAAACCTCCCGGGACCGAGACCCGTTTCCCACGCCATCGCAACGGAGCTCAGAGACGTCGGATGGCTTAGTGACAGAACAATACAAACCCGCATAAATATTGCCGGTACGAGCAAAAAGCATAGGAATTACAAGAGCACTCGGTACTGGATAGTCGACATAGCGATCGTGCTGTAATTTAAACGCCACATCATTAATTAACTTTTTTATTTACTTTTATAAAAGGCAGACACCTGAACGAGATGCCGGTTAGAGGAAATTAA